AGATTAATGTTGTCTATACATATATAAGCCACCGCCTACTTTCACGTTCAATGTTAGTTGAAGTAAGATTCGATTGGAGAAAAGTGCTAAGTGCGGTCACACAAACATCTGACACTCGTCAATTCAATCGATGTTAAGACTGGTGGACTGTATAGCTGTGGTCTTCGAGATGTTGGATATCCTTGGTGACATTTCCATGATTGGAATCATCAGAACTGCTCACTCATAACTCCTCGTAGAGTCAGGTTTGGAACCATCAAGTTTCATTCTGAACATACTTCGATTCAGCTGCATGAATCCAACCCCAACAGGCTTTACATTTGACTACTTCTAACAATTCACAGTAAAGTGTGACCATTGTCCAACGTCATGTATGAGTATGTATTGTCATACTTGGCTTATCCGATTCCCTATATCACGTGTTTATTGATATATGGTGGACTTCAATGTACTCAGAAGCATTCACGCACTAGAGGCAATGAGGCACACCTGTTGTGTGACGGTTGAATAAAACTCAGTAGATGAGGCGGGACTGGAATCGGCGGCCAAAGGTGATCTAGGCTGGAACACTCCATCTTCACTTACTATGATTACCACTTCCATCTGAAGGGACTTCAAAAAACTCTCTTCCCGAAACCTGTAGTCATGTAATGCTAGTGTAGTAATGTATACTTCATTATTAAGCATGGAAACGAGTAAAGTGTGCCTACCATCTCTAAGGACGCCTGTTGTCCTGACATCTTACCATACGAAAAACGTCTGTAGAATAGTGATTAGATGAAAAGTAATTACCATTCCAGTGTGCATTGCTACGCTATCAGGGTAAAGTTGTGACGCTGAGTCGACGGAAATGCAGCAGTAGTAGTAACTTGTTTCTCTCGGATGACCATCAGTGACACACTGATGCTGCCTTATACAACCAAAGGTTGAGGGTTAGAAAAGGTCGGTCGCCAGAAGTAGCACACTACTATTTACACAGCGGCATGCCAACACTTCAGACACGAATTCATTATGTGGGATTCGAAAGCAAAACACTGAACAGACATCAAATAGACGTTGAGTGGACTTTGCAGTCACGAGCTAACTCTTCTTTATCAGCTTCCTCAAGAAGACCTTACCTTCCACGGTGTGTAGTTATCTGGGAAGTATCACAACTCTGTCAGTTCTCTTATGCTCCCTCACATCACTGTTCACCTGACTTTGACATTCTCACTCGTGTCTCTCAGTCAAATATCCTATATCATCTTTAATTTCGTCCAGCTCTGCAGCTGTCGATAATTTATCTAAGTTCGCCGAGCCTTGGTTCAATTTTCCAAGTTTATAAAAAGGGATGCTAAGGTTGTTATTCACACCTTAACTTGAACTGAGGTGAAACTTCTGATGGATATCGGTTTAGAAAACATGGTTTGTACTATCAACCATACCTACGGTGCATTGACACAGAATTACGACTTGATGAAAAGCTCCCAGCACATTTTTCCAGCATCAAAACGACTTACTCGCATACTCACTGCAATTGATTCTTTCACGAGATGAGGCATTTCCTATCATATGAATGATATTTCTGATGTGAACATTGCTGCATATTTTCCCTTCGTCTCTTGTCTACAACAATAATTTTAGATAGAAGATTACAGTTTCAATCATCTCTACCTGATGTACAGCATATCTAAGCAACAGTAGATAGATTTCACCAATTGTCAGGAGATATACGACGGTTAATTTCTACTACGTTCTGCGTCTGCGTCTGAGACAAGCTTAATTCAGTTTGTGTTGGAAAGCTATTAACACAATGAGACACCTGGATTGGGGATGTGAACAACGATTATTCTCCTTTAGACCTGATACTTCATTGAGCTGGGAAAATCAGATGAAAAAGACCAGCTTGTAACTGTAAGGCAAACAACTATATCCGACAAAGAGCAAACCATTTTGATTGGCTAACTGTAGGACGAAAATCGACCAATAAGATTTCTCCTGACTACACAGTAACATGAATTCCAAAACTTCTCACTTTATTGGCTGTACTCTTCAAGCTTCATCCAATCATTTAAAATGACATTGTATGCAATGAATTTATAGTAATTGGGATCTAACAACTCGATTTCTTTAACATATACTGACTTTACGATTCAGTTCCTTTTTTCAGTAGTTGTTGTTGTTGTTGGCGTTTCCGGTTCCATTACCTATTGTGTAGCTGATCTTTATGAGATAGGCTGTTTTTCCAAACACTTCTCCCTGAGTCTTGCTAAGTTCCTATTGTTTGAAACGAACTCCACTGTTCACATATAGAATTAGTGTTCAACAGGAGACTTTACACTCAAGTTTAGTGTTGCTTAGATGAATATGTGACCTGTAAGAGATTGACTTCTCTTTGAAATCTGTACTCGTATCATGACATATTCTACAGTCAGTATAAAAAGATCATTCCATAGAACTATTGTTCAAGATGTCTCATCTATTTATTTCTGCTACGTTAAGCACCAAAGTTGCCTGATCCATGAATTTCTCACATCTACTCCAGCATATTTTATAAGCAGTTAAAATCTGGCCTCTGTTTACCGTCTATGTATATGACGTATATTCAGATGACCTGAGTCAGTCACATATCCTATATCATCTTTAATTTCGCTCAGCTCTTCTCAAAGTAGAACAAATAACATAACACAAATAAGATACGCGACTATGAACAATAATCTCACTTCTGGGAACTCCAACTTACAACATATCCACAGAGCTAACTATCCAGGAGACTGGAATATCTTCTGCAATAATACCAACACTCTTACAAACCATCAAAGGCATTATCATATACAGAATGATGAACTTCCAATGTCACAGCATTGTATTCACATCAATCGAACCGCAACTAGTCAAGGATAGTATGTTTAACAACATACTTCCAGTTCGATGCGAAGATATACAAACATCTGGAAGGAACCCCAATAGGGTCACCGAGTTTTAAAAAGGTTAGTAATAATCATTTGATGAGAAAAAAAAATTATCAGTAGAACAGTAGAGTTTGTAGAGTTGTCCATCATCGTTTTAGACATTAGCGCGCCATGGGGTTTCGAACTGTGAGTTCCTAGTGGAACATAGGGCTTCAGTAGCACGTCTCCATTGCACTCTGTGCTCTGCGGTCTTATGAAACTGGTTCCACGACTGCCCACAAGCTTTCATTTCTTCCTCACATGATCTACTTTATGTCACCCTCACCTCGGACGCCCAAGTCGTCGTTTCCCCTATGGATTCCACTCGACAGCCTGGCCTGACCGTGATGTCCCCAATCGGACTTCGCAGTGTATGTCCAATCCATCTCCACCTTGTTCTGCTGCATATTGGTTGGGCGATGGGTTCTTAGTTGGTTCGTTGCCATTCATCTGATCTTAAGTATCGAGTGAGCGTAAGCTGCAGCTGTTGATAAATGTCTCTAGTTTGATGGAAGTGCTTTTCGTTACCAGCTAAGTTTCTGAACTATGTGGCAGCAGTGACTTGACTTATTTGGTGTTGAAAATCCGGATCTTGTCAACGCTTTATTGCTGAGTACAGTAGATTTCCACATCGATCATTTCAGATTGATGAAGGAAGGGCTGTCTTGCTGTCTTCCCGATTCTGTATTGACATCCTCGTCTATGCCGCCTGTAGTGGAAACAATGCTGCCTAAGTAGGTGAAACAGGCTACTTCCTAAAGGTTTCTCCTGTTAGTGGTGCTTGTCACTCATGTTGAAATCACCTTGGCATCAACTAATCTTGGAAACCTTTGTCTGATTATATCGTCAAGACAGATGTAAGAAATGTATTCCTTTCGCCTTATTTTAATTCATTTTTCCTTTACCTCACCCTTCACACAAAATCCCATGACAATAGACTGGGGTAAAGTATCTCTCATCTCTTGATAAATATGAACCTCTCACAAGGTCAGAGATGACTGACACTGAAGAATTCCACTCTAAAATGAGGCAATTATTATGCCCATATTAAAAAATCGTCCACGTAATGTATGTCACAATCATCGGGGTATTGGTCTCTTACCAGTAGCGTCGAAAATAATGCCTGCTATCATACTTCTCGGACTTAGTGAACCACGTGAAGAAATGACTTGTGAGAGGCAGACCGATTTTCGTTCACGTTGTGGATGCATCAATCATGTGTTTACTTCCCATCACCTGCTTCAACATCATCATACGTATTGTAGGCCAACAATCATTGTGTTTCCTGATATTAAGGCTACCTTCAATTGGTTGGAGAGACCTGTACTCTGGGATTGTATGTTAGAGAGGGGAGTGTCTGAGGAATTTCTTAACATCTTCAAATACAGCCTCAGATAGAGTGAAGGTATACAACCACCTATCTCCATTGTTTCAAACCAGCAGTGGAATTTCGCAGAGGCTGTTCAAGCTCATCCCAACCACCGGGAGCAAATAGCCAGATGTCAGTGAGATGGTCTGTGATCTAGATCGTACGCCTTCAAACGATATTCAAACACGTCTGGAACGCCTATCGTGCTCCATCTGACGAAGCAGAGGTCCATAAGGAACTCGAAATTCTAAAACGCCACAAATTACTCGGCCCAAATAACTTACCCCCGACTCTTAAAGGATGAAGGCACAACTGTAGGTTGTTTGAGAAGTTGTCGCACACCGAAAGTGTTACACGAATCTATAATGAGGAGTCGACACACAGTTAGAAGTTTTAGTAGCTACATGGTAGAAGAGTGTTATTAGGCTTTCTTAACAGAAAGACACATACATATATATATACACAGTAGGCGATATGGCTGACCGCCACCAACTGAACGGATTAGTTACAAGGTAGACAGACACAAGGTAGATGATATGAACTGTAGACAAGAAATAACACATAAATATTTTCTAATAATAACTTATGTTAACTAGAAATAATAGGAAAACATGATTTTTTTTTCTCTCTCTCTCTCTCTCTCTGTTTATATACTACAAACAAAACTCGAAATAACAGCAACAACAACAAACACAATTACTTTAATGTGACGCTAGTTGAAATTGACGTTTACGCCACCTATCGAATGCATTGACCATTAAACTGGCAACAACCCCCAAAACTATACCAACTGGTAATTGTGATAAAAACATTAATTTAAGATGTTGTGAACGTGTACGATAAACCCTTGATGAATAAACCCAAGCATAGTTTCTAAAAAAAACAACATAGAAAGTAATAAACAAGCAAGCTGAAAGTTGATGAATACAATTCAACTGATACATTATATATATATCTTTACATTCTTTCAAATTATTCTTTATCCTTCGGTTTCCTAATGGAACAAATAGGGCTTCAGAAGTACGACACTATTTCACTCTCTTCTCTTCACTTTGGCTCCATGACTGCTCATAAGCTTTCACTTCTTCTTCATACCATCTCCTTCAAGTTCAACTTGTCGTTAAATCTTTCGGTTCCACTCAACGGTCTAGCCTAAGACGTTATGTCCCCGAATCGCCTTCTTAGTGTATTTTCAAGCTGGCTGGCTGGCTGGCTGGCTTCAGGAAGTACAAATCATATGCGGACCAAATTGCAACGCTATGCATCATTAAAAAACAGAGCATAGAATGGCAGTCAACTCTTTACCTCGTCTTTATCAATTTTGAAAACGCCTTGGACAGCGTCGACTGAGAAGTGATTTAGCAGTTGCTTTAACACTACGGTTTTAGTGCCACAAACCTTTATCAACCTCATTCAACAGCTATATGATGATGATGATGATGATGTTATATGTCAAGTGATTCACAATGGAAAGCTCAGTGATGTCTTTGAAGTGAAATGAAGACAGGAGAAAGACAGGGTTATTTATTATCTATCACCGATCATCTCTTCTTTGTCGTCGACTCAACTGCACTACATCATGCGACAAATACCTGTGACGAGCGAGAACAGGGGCATACCCTGTTTGACCAGTGAAAAGACCCTACAAGATTTGGGTTTCGCCAATCATGATTTATCTCTAATGTCGCACACGCTCGAAGATCTACAGGTGAAAACTAGCAAGTCCACAGAAGAAGCGAGGTGACACAGCGAAGCAAGATGGGACTTCCTTCAGGTGATGAAGATACCCAACCAACAACAACAACAAGCAGCAATCAACATCAACTGCAGAAATTTAAACGGAGTTGTCTCCTCCACCTACCTACCCACCCACCTACCTACCTACCTACCTAGAAGGCAGCATCGTTTCAACCACATGCGACACAGGCTCACATCACGATGTCAAAGCCAACATTGGAAAGACACTAAGACAGTCGTTCCTGCATTAGTCCGAAGAAATCAGTGTGGAGATCAACTGCACTGCACTCCACTCCACTGCACTCAGCATAAAGCGTGGACAACATCCGGATTCTCAACACTAATCTCAGTCAAGTCAGTACTTGCTTCGATGTGATAGTTGAGAGAGTTGGCGCGTTACGAAAAGCATTTTTAACAAACTGAAGACATGCATCATCAACAATTGCCGAAGACGCTCACTCCATACTGAAGATGGAGATCAGATGGCCAGAAGGAATAAGCAAGTTAGAACTCTGGCTGGCCTGGCAACTAACCAAGAAGATATCACTCAACAAACATACAGCAGAAGAATGCGGAGATGGATTGGATTGAACATAGACTGAGAAGGCCGTTTGGGGATATCATGCGCCACTAGGAACCCAAGGGAGAAATAATAATAACAATAATAAAAGTACTGAAAGGTGTTTTACCTCAGCGATCAGTTGATCAGTAATTAGCTTTTTTTGTTTGGAAAATGCTTCACAGCTTGCCTATGCTTGTTGAAGTCATCGTGTAAGCAACGTTGATGTCATACGAAGGGTATCGGGAAGAATATGCAAATCAATCAATGAAACTGTGAAACGTAGTCGACCGAACCGACTTCGATGTGTACTGTGCATGCCTAGCCACCATCTACTTCGACGTACCATGGTAAGGGGTATTGGATTAGGTTGGAAGAGGGGGTTCAGGTTGAGCATACCACGATGTGGCATTAATCGATGAAGTCTCTGACTAGTGGTGTGAGTCATGTGAGGCGAAGCAGATTCCTTAGCTGGAGTCCGCTAGACGATAGGAGTTTGTGCTTCAGGTTTTACGTCGACTTTGTCTGTCTGTCTGTCTGTATTACTACTATCTCAAGAGTTGCTTGTCTGTTTGTAAATACCTCGCTCCCTTGAGATAAGTGGAACGCAGCAGCACTAAAATAAAAGATGAACAAAAGGTAGACTTGAATTGAAAAGACTACCTCAAGAGATAACATATACCACCTTGGGAGCATACACTACTGCCTAGCGACAATGCACCAAATTGTAGAACTGTCACATACTTCTAGACGACAGTGATGTAGAAAGTTTGGTGTAAACTAGGCGTAAAATATTAGTCCGAATCGCCCTACATGGCTCAAACCACAAATCAAGGACTTTATGCATTGATCCCACATTCTAGCCCCATCATCCCCAACCTTTTCCTAGTCTGAATTTACTTCGGAAAACATGGTGTAACGATGTAGACGGTGGTTAGGCATACGCGACACATGTCCTAGCCAACCATCTCAGTCGATGAACGTCTACAACCACACCAACTGACTTACCCCTCTCCTCCCTTCCAAACACTTCACATCTCACTTCTGGATTACTCACGTGCTGACACCATGAAACACGATCTATGCTATGAAGGCATGTCTTAGTAGACAATCGGATATCACGCTAGATAGTTTAAGCTGACAAAAGCCAATCAAGCCTTTTTTATGAGTGCAGAGGTTTTGTTAGCCACTGACCAACGGCACCAGACCTGATCCAACTTCTCAGGTAAGTGAAGTGTTCAAAGCGGTCAATGATCATTTCACTCTATTTTTAGCCAGGGTACCCTTGATGACCAGTTCTGGAGCAACAATTTCCATTTTCTTGACGAGAAACATATCCCAAATCTTCGTAAGGTGTCTTCGCCTAACACGACTATGTCATGGGTATTCTAGGTCTGCTAAACATTCTTCTTTGATCACGTCAGTCCCTGTGTAGTCAGATGTCGAGAGAGAAACCTCCGTAGTAGTTATGAGAAGATAAGAATATTATCATTATAAAGGCAGACAAAGTAAACACTATAGTGAGTAATGAATCGAACCGATTATGAGAAAAAGACAAGAGAATATCTTAATGCTAGTCTCTACTAGAAGATAAACCCTAGAAACTTATGTGCTACACTAAAAAAAACTGAAAGCTGAAACTAGCAAACTTATACAATCGATAAAAGACGAGTGAAGTACTTCTCTATGGTTCTGATTAGCACCAAAAGATTCCAGCTCTTGTAGATTCTATGGACTGACAAAACTTTATAAGATAAATATGCTTCTCAGACTAATTGTAGGTTTTACTAACTCACCACCTCCATATACAATTTAGTAAAATCATTTTATCTTACATTGAAGAAGAGGAAATACTGGTGTCAGATACTGATTTAAGTTCCAAGGTGCTTATTAGATCCAGGAGAAATTTTGAAATCCCTAAAATTATGTTTACAATCGACTGTATTCACATTCAGAAGAGAGATGTGTACCGACAAATAGATGGTATAGCAATGAGATAGATGTCCAGTGTAACCAAATCGCTCTATACTTCCAAGAATTTGGGTTAAGGTACGTAGACAACACAATTGTCATCATCAAATGAAACAGTCTGAATGAACTCTTCTGTCACATAAATAATGTTTACGGAAGGGAATACAATAAATTAAAGATTTTGGCAACTGCTTCAACACTACGGAATACCACAAACCTTTATCAATCTCATTCAACAACTATATGAAGACGCCACATGCCAAGTAATTCACAATGGAAAGATCAGTGACACCTTGGAAGTGAAGACAGAAGTAAGACAAGGCTGCCACCTACTATCACCCATGATATTCCTGACTGTGTTGTGGTGGACTGGATCATGCAACAAACAGTGAGGAGCGAGGAGACGGGGATACGCTGGCTAGACCGATGAAAAAATCCTAGAATATTTGGATTTCTCTGATGACTTGTGTCTAATGTCACACAAACTCGAAGATCTACAAGCAAAAACTAACAAGTTGACAGAAGAGGCGAAGCAGTGAAGACGCGACTTCAAGTGAATGTAGAGAAGACAGAGGTGATGATGATACCCAACCAACACAACCAACAACAAGCACCAATCACCATCAACGGGAAAACCTAAAGGAAGTAGTTTCTTTCACCTACCTACCTAGGCAGCATCGTTTCAACTACAGGCGGCACAGGCACAGACGAAGATGTCAAAACCGGAATCGAAAAGATAGCAAGACAGGCTTTCACTAACCTGAAACAAATGTGGAGATCTTCTGCACTCAGCACAAGGCGTGAACAAGATCCAGATTTTCAAAACGGATCCAATCAAGTCAGTACTTCTATATGGTTCAGAGACTTGATGCGTTACGAAAAGTATTTCCAACAAACTACAGATATTCATCAACAACTGACACCTACGCTGGCTCGTTACTGAAGCTCAGATGGCCAGAAAGAATAAGCAACAAGGAACTCTGGCTGTCTGGCAACGAACCAATCAAGAACCCATTACCCAACAAATATGCACTGGAAGGAAGTGGAGATGGATTGGGCATACACTGAGAAGAACATTGGGGACATGACGGGCCAGGCCAGTCCCTCGAGTACAATCCAAAAGGGAAACGACGAGTTGGGCATCTCAGCTGATGGTGACACTAGATCATTTGAGGAAGAAATGAAAGCTTCTTGACAGTCGTGGAACCAGGTTAAAGACTGCAGAAAAGAAAGTGAAATGGAGGTGTGCTACTGAAGCCCTATGTTCCACTAGGAACCTAAAAGACAAAAAATAATAATATAAAGATTAAGATATTCAAAAAGCTACACATTCTGAGAGATATCTCGATTATCAGTCTCCGCATCCTTTGACTACTAAAGTAAACTGTCGCACGGAATCTGATTAGCAGAGCTAACCATCTTGTTACAACAGAATGGGATAAAGAAGAAGAGTTAAAGTGAGTTTGCCTAACACTTGGAAGCAAACAATGAAATGAAGTATGTACTGAAACTCCTTCCAAATAAATGGACAAGCACGGTTATAAACTCATACCGAAAGGAGACTTCAGAAGAAATAAGAAGGATTCTCAATAAACACAATATAAGAGTTTACTTTCGTGTAATAAATACCATAAGTTCTAACTTAATAAAAGTTAAAGATGTAGTACCTAAAGGAAATCAGTAGAGCTGAGTCTATGAAATCAAATGCGAAGGTTGTACAGCAGGGGAAACAGCCAGGCAGGTACACTCCATAGAAATGGTACACAAAATTAACTTTGACGAAACTAAGGTTCTATGGAAAGGTTTTAGGTCATACCAAGAAAGGGTGACAGCCAAAGCGCTACATATATGCGCGAATTCAGACAGTTTTAACAGATGAGATGGAGTACAGTTAGCTGCCTCTTGGCAATTACTAATTAGTAAGCATAAAGAGTGACTCAAAACATTTGCCGTCAATGCTAGTCTCAACTCCATTATTTCTGCATAAACAAACAAAAAAACCAGGACTGATTTGATTCATTATCACTATCATCATCATCGTCATCAACATCACAGACGCCCGACAATAACTGTATTTCTTGACCTAAAGGCGACAGCATTCGACTCCGCTGGTCGAGAAGTCTTATGACAATGTCTCTCACAGAAAGGCGTGCCGAGTAAGTACATCACCTTATTGAAGGCTCTCTACTCGAATACTTTGGGTGTGTTATAGCCTATGGTGAGATGTCCAGAGAGCTATGCTCATCGAGTGGTGTCCGTCAAGGGTGCACACTGTCTCCATTCCTATTCAATTTTATCATAGATATTCTTATGGAGGTCTCCCTATCATCACCTGATAACACAGAGGTTGACCTAATCACAGGAGAATTTTCATCAGATCTAGAATATGCAGATGACATAGTCCTGTTAAGTGAAAACGCTTACAAGACGTAGAGTCTTCTGAACACTTTGAGTGGCAATTTCAGAATGTTTAGGATGCATTTATCGTCACCGAAATGCAAATTGTTGCTTCAGGATTGGTGTTCAACGGCGCCTCAGCTAACAATAGACAGTAACCTTACTGGTTTCAGCCGGTTTGGTATAACACGTTATACAACACATTTTGAAGGTTTTAACGAAAGAAGCTTATTCTCTTGAATTCACTAAGTGTTCTATTCGACAGTGAACGATGCGTAGAGTTTTAGAGAGGGAGAAGAGGTGAGTCAGTTGACACGATTGTGAACCTTCATCGACTGAGATGGTTGACTGAGACATGTGTTACGTAGGCCTAGTCACCGATTACCTCGTCACACGTTGTTGGTCGAAGTAGGTCGAGGCTGGAAAAAGGCCTGAGGTGGTCAGACTAAAACACGGCACCAATACATGAAGTATCTGACTGTTGGTTTGAGCCATGTGGGGCAATGCAGACTTGGTGGTTGTGGTCCGCGGGACAAGAGGAACCAGTGGCTCAGAACTGATGTCAGTGGCGCAGATGTTTACATATCCTCATCTTAACGACGCTTTACCGATTCTCACCATTTTGTCATTCTTCATTTCTTTCTTCTCTTCTTCCTTCTTCTTCATCAGGCCTGCAAAACACACACACAATAGGTGTGGCTCATTGGCTACTGTACAAATATATACACATAAAGTTGTGGTGTATGTGAATTTCGATCGAATTTTAACAAAAAATTACAATTATGAATGGATTGTAATACATTTATTAGTAAACGAATGTTTTTTTTAAAAAAAAAACTAACACAACAACAACACCTACCTAATCCATGGATCTTTTAAACCTAATTTATTCAATTTTTCAACATATTCCTTTAAAGATGGATGATCAAGAGTGTATTTCTTCCAATCAGGACACTTCCAGTTCTCCATATTTCTTTAACCTTCAATACAATCTATAATATAAAACAAAAGTGATAATCTTATGTTAACAATTCAACTATGTGTGTAAACTATTGATTTATGCATAGGCACTATCTAGTGTTGAAGGATAAACTCATAACTAAGAGAAAATAATTTGAAGGATTATTTCCTGGTCAGCGAAAACTATACTGAGTTTGCTTCGTATCACAGATGCATTGATCATGTGTTTACCCTCGGCGAGACGTATGAACATCGTTACACATATTGTAGGCCAACAATCATAGTGTTTCTTCATACTAAGATTGCCTTCAATTCGTTAAACATACCATTAGAGTAACGCAAAGGTCAGGAGTAGAGTTTTAGGGGGAAGAGGTTAGTCGTTGACGAGGTTGTGAACCTTCATCGATTGAGATGGTTGGGACACGTATTACGTATGCCTAGTCACCGATTACCTCGTCACACATTGTTGACCGAAGAAGGCGCAGGATGGGAAAAGGCCTGAGGTGGCCAGACTAAAACATGGCACAAATGTATGAAGTCTTTGACTGTTGGTTTGAGCCATGTAGGGCGATGCAGACTAGGTGGTTGGGGTCTGCGGGACAAGAGGAACCAGTGGTTGGAGACTGACTCTAGGTGATCACATGCCTCAGAACCGATGTCAGTGGCTCTATGATCTTCAGTATTTCGATAGCATGAAGAAAGAAGAGTAGTAGTTGAAGGATAGCGCCATAAAAATGTCTACGGGCGAGAGATTATCACTTAGATAGTATTCTTTTTTCCTACTTGTAGTCTTCTGTTAATTTTCTCTAATCTATGTTTCCACTCTATTTTGAATACCAAGTTTATGAAACTTCCATAATTAACTTGAGTGTAAAACTTTATCGAAATCCTTGCCAAAGTTAATGAACACCGTGTCCACAAGAGGTTTATTGTCTCTAGTCTTGTTTTAGTACCTTACCACAAATTATCTTAACCACGATACGAATAAAACTGGCAGGTTGTTAATTGGTGACTAGTTGTCTACTGTCTCCCTTGAACGTACAGCTTATTATAGCAAGGAGTTGTGTCTGTGATAAGAACATGTCGAACAGTACATCCATCCAGTCAGAGAATTGAAGTAGAGAAGAAGAAAGGAAGAATGAAAAAGTGATGAGATTCGGTGTAGCGTCGTTAAGATGAGGATAATAGTGTGATACATCTGAGCCACTGACATCGGTTCTGAGGCATGTGATCACCTAGAGTCAGTCTCCAACCACTGGTTCCTCTTGTCCCGCAGACCCCAACCACCTAGTCTGCATCGCCCTACATGGCTCAAACCAACAGTCAGAGACTTCATACATTTGTGCCATGTTTTAGTCTGGCCACCTCAGGCCTTTTTCCATCCTGCGCCTTCCTCGGTCAACAATGTGTGACGAGGTAATCGGTGACTAGGCATACGTAATACGTGTCCCAACCATCTCAATCGATGAAGGTTCATAACCTAGTCAACTGATTTACCTCTACTTTCTAAATCTCTACTCCTGACTTGTGCATTACTCACGTGGTGACACCACGAAATATGGCCTATAACTGCAAAGGCAACACTGTTCAAACACCTGAAGCCGCCTCCTCATGTCTTCCACTTTTAATGGCCATGTTTCACAGCCGTACATTAGAACAGACCTGACTGCTGTGTAGTACACACGGCGGCGCTATAGGTGGCGTAAATTGGCAAAAGCCAATCAAGCCTTTTGTATTGGTGCAGAGATTTCACCGGCCACTGAGTCATGGGGCAGGCCTGATCCTACTTCCCAAGTAAGTGAAGTGGTCAACACACTCAACCACTACACTCACTGTCTATTATTAGCCATGGTGGGGCACCGTTGAAGACTAATCCTGGAGCAACAATTTGCATTTGGGCGGTGAGAAACGCATCTCAAACATTCTAAAATTGCTACTCTGTGTTCAGAAGACTCTGCATCTTGTCAGCGTTTTCACTTAACAGGACTATGTCATCTGCATATTCTATGTCTAACGGAAATTCTCCTGTGATTAGGTCAACCTCTGTGTTATCAGGTGATGATAGGGAGACCTCCATAAGAATACCTGTGATAAAATTGAATAGGAATGGAGACAGTGTGCACCCTTGACGGACACCACTCGATGAGTACAGCTCACCTGACATCTCACCATAGGCTATAACTCACCCACAAGTGTTTGAGTAGAGAGCCTTCAATAAGGTGATGTACTTACTCGGCAAGCCTTTCAGTGAGAGACGTTGCCATAAGATTTCTCGATCAACCGAGTCTACAGTAGAACAGACCTGACTGTTTTGCATTACATGCCACCTTTAATAGACAAACGGATATCACGGTGGCGCTATAGGTGGCGCAAATTGGCAAAAGCCAATCGAGCCTTTTGTATCCGTACAGAGATTTCATCGGCAGCTGACCTACCAGGGCTGATCCTACTTCTCAAGTAAGTGAAGTGGTTGACGCACTCAAACACTTCAATCTCTATTGTTAAGCGTGGCACCGCTGAAGATCAATCCTGGAGCGAAAATTTGCATTTGGGTTGTGAGAAACACATTCCGAACATTCTCAAATTGCTACTCAAAGTGTTCAGAAGACTCTGCATCTTGTCAGCGTCTTCACTTAACAGGACTATGTCATCTGCATATTCTAGGTCTAATGAAAATTCTCCTGTGAATAGGTCAACGTTTGTGTAATTAGGTGACGAGAAGGAGACCTCCATAAGAATATCTATGATGAAATCGAATAAGAATGGAAACAGTAGTGAAGATACATCCTCACACACATTATCCTCATCTTAACAACGCTATAGCGAGTCTCACCACTTTCTCATCCTTCCTTTCTCTCTTTTCGTGCTTAGTACTTTCTTTTGACTGCATCCTCCTATCTTCATCTTTCATCTCACTACCTTCCTACTTGATGTACTGATATGAGGTGTGGCAAGTTGGACCGTTACGCAGTAATGCCTGATCCTAGGTTGATCTGGATGGATGGATGGATACTCTGAAATTGTCTGTTGGAGATGAGTGTCCCTGAGAAATTTCCTAACATCTTGAAATAGCACCTCAGGCAGAGTGAAGGTATACAACCACCTGTCTTTATTGTTCTAAACTAGCAGTGAAATTGGGCTGGGTTACCCGATTACTCCATTCCTCTTTAACTTTTCCATCGATGACATTCGTGAAACAGCTCTGAAAAAGGTGGTGTAGATGTTCTACCTGGAGAACATCTATTCAACCTTGAATAAGCTGATAGTATCATTTGTGGAAGTACGAGCGGTGAAATTTCTAATGGCATATCGAAAACCAAATCGGTATACTTCAGTCTAGAGCACCTTTGGTGCCGTTAGTTCGACGTAAAAGGTTGGGTTTACAACGTTTTGCTGCAATCAGTTCTGCTCTACGCCAGTGAAACCTGGCCTCTCCAAGCTGAGGATATGCAACGACTATGTATGTTCAACATTCGTTGTCTCCGTAGGATTTCTTGTATCCGGTGGCCTATATCGTATTCAAAGTCGAATAGAGGTTCTCCGGGTAGTACATCTACACTAACATCATGTACCTCTCAGCGTTGTCTAAAGAATGTTATCGATGGCAAAGAGGAATGCTGAAATCGTGTAACTGTGTTATAATGCAGAGTCGTGAGAACTAACGAAAACACGGATTGATAGTTGAAGGTTGAGACGATGCAACCAGAGTAATTTGCAGAGAGAGTTCAAGACTGGGAATCAGATGAGTTTATCGTATCTCGGACTGAGTAAGAACGGGCCCTACTTATACAGTTTACAGTAACTGTGGAAGACAAGGACCTCATTCAACAGCAATATGAGGATAATGATGCTACATGCCGAATGATTCACAATGGAAAGCTCAGTGACATCTTTTAAGTGAAGTGAAGGCAGGAGTAAGACAAGGTTGCCTACTATCTATCTATCACCGGTCATCTTCCTCTTTGTGGTTGACTCAAATGGACTGGGTCACGCGACTAACTGTGAGGAGCGAGAACAGGGGCATACGCTCAACCGATGAAAAAACCCTACACGATTTGCATTTCGCCAATGATGACTTATGTCTAATGTCACACAAGCTCGAAGATTTACAGGTGAAAACTAACAAGTTGGCAGAAGAGGCAAGGCAGTGCAGCGAAGGAAGATGGGACTTTCTTCAGGTGAATGTAGACAAGACACAGGTGATGGAGATACCCAACCAACAACAACAACTACAATCACTAATCACCATCAGCGGGAGAAATCTAAACGAAGTTGTCGCTTTCACCTACCTAACTAGAAGGCAGCATCGTTTCAATCACGGGCAACACAGGCAAACATGACGAAGTCAAAGCCAGGATCATCTACCTTGTGTCTGTCTACCTTGTAACTAATCCGTTCAGTTGGTGGCGGTCAGCCATATCGCCTACTGTGTATATATATGTATGTGTCTTTCTGTGAAGAAAGCCTAATAACACTCTTCTACCATGTAGCTATTAAAACTTCTAACCTGTGTGTCGACTCCTCATTATAGATTCGTGTAACACTTTCGGTGTGCGACAACTTCTCAAACAACCTACAGTTGTGCCTTCATCCTTTAAGAGTCGGGGTAAGTTATTTGGGCCGAGTAATTTGTGGCGTTTTAGAATTTCGAGTTCCTTATGGACCTCTGCTTCGTCAGATGGAGCACGATAGGCGTTCCAGACGTGTTTGAATATCGTTTGAAGGCGTACGATCTAGATCACAGACCATCTCACTGACATCTGGCTATTTGCTCCCGGTGGTTGGGAATGAGCTTGAACAGCCTCCTACGAAATTCCACTGCTGGTTTGAAACAATGGAGATAGGTGGTTGTATACCTTCACTCTATCTGAGGCTGTATTTGAAGATGTTAAGAAATTCCTCAGACACTCCCCTCTCTAACATACAATCCCAGAGTACAGGTCTCTCCAACCAATTGAAGGTAGCCTTAATATCAGGAAACACAATGATTGTTGGCCTACAATACGTATGATGATGTTGAAGCAGGTGATGG